ATAAATCAATAAAATTCAATCAATAACATTTATTGGACTTATATTAAAAAACAGATCAAAATTCTGTTTATCGGCTAAGAAAAACACCCAGGAAAACCCACGGGCATTTATTTAAATAAATAACATTTAATTATCTAAAAAATGAATAAATTTATGGACAGGACACCTCCAGCCCCTGGGGAACAAAAAACACCAAGAAAATTAAATAAATAAATAAAATAGATAAATAAAATTCAATCCATAACATTTTATTATACATTAAAAAAACCAGATCAAAATTCTATTTATCGGCTAAGTAAAACACCCAGGAAAACATCACAGGCATTTATCTAAATAAATAAAATTAATTTTAAAAAGAGTAATATTTATTTAAATATTTAAATGTTTATATATTATATTAAATAAATACATATATTAAATAAATATATTAAATAAAGAAATATATTACTATACTTAAATATTAAATAAATAAAAATTATTTAATAAATAAATAAATGAATTTAGGGGCAGGACACCTCCTGCCCCTGGGGGAAAAACACACACAGAAAATTAATTAAATAAATCAATAAAATTAAATAAATAACATTTATTGGACTTATATTAAAAAACAGATCAAAATTCTCTTAATCGGCTAAGAAAAACACCCAGGAAAACACCACAGGCATTTATCTCAATGAATAAAATTTATCTTAAAAATTTAAATAAATTAATATTTATTTAAATATTTAAATATTTAAATATTATATTAAATAAAGAAATAAATTAACTAAATATATTAAATAAATATATTAATATACTTAAATAGTAAATAAATCTCATATTAAAGAAATAAAATTTATTTAATAAATAAATAAATTTAGGGACAATCAATAAATAAATGAATAAAATTCAATCAATAACGTTTATTGGACTTATATTAAAAAACACATCAAAATTCTGTTTATCGGCTCAGTAAAACACCCAGGAAAACACCACAGGTATTTATTTAAATAAATAAAATTGATTTATCTAATAAATGAATAAATTTAGGGACAGGACACCTCCTGCCCCTGGGGGACAAAAAACACCAAGAAAATTCAATTAATCAATAAATCAATCAATAAAATTCAATCAATAGCGTTTATTGGACTTATAGAAAAAAAATCACATCAAAATTCTGTTTATCGGCTAAGAAAAACACCCAGGAAAACACCACAGGCATTTATCTCAATAAATAAAATTTATCTTAAAAAATTTAAATCAATTAATATTTATTTAAATAATTAAATATTTAAATAGTATATTAAATGAATATATCAAATAAATAAATATATAAATATATTAAAATATTAAATGAATTTCATATTAAATAAATAAAATTGATTTATCTAATAAATGAATAAATTTAGGGACAGCACACCTCCTGCCCCTGGGGAATAAAAAACATCAAGAAAATTAAATAAATAAATAAATAAATAAATAAATAAAATTTATTTATCTAATAAATAAATAAATTTAGGGACAGGACACCTCCTGCCCCTGGGGGAAAAACACACAGAAAATTCAATTAATCAAGAAAATAAATAAATAAAATTCAATCAATAACGTTTATTGGACTTATAGAAAAAAAATAGATCAAAATTCTATTTATTGGCTAAGAAAAACACCCAGGAAAACACCACAGGCATTTATCTAAATAAATAAAATTTATTTAACTTATTAAACAAATTTATTGAACTTATTAAAAAAAGAATCAAAATTCTATTTATCTGCTAAAACAAACACCGAGAGCAACTCCACAGGAATTTACTTAAATAAATAAAATTTATTTCACTTATAAAAATAAATCAAAATTCTATTTATCAGCTAAAAAAAAA